GGGAAAGTAAAGGTCAAGAACTTTCTGCAAACTGGTATTGCTCTTACCCCTGCTAGCAGTATTACAGTTTTTCTCCATAGCTTTGCCTCAATATTCAAATGCATACATTTTAAAAACAAGTCTGACCTTCTCCATAACCTTCACAACATAACAGTTCCTGTCTTTACCTACAAATATCAATTGTTTAACATATTTCAGCAAATGATTCAGTACAGTTCACTACAAGTTGAAGAACTATCAATATCCTTTTGATCAGAATAGTGTAATTTCTTTTTTGTTAAACAGTTTTATTCCAAAACATGTAAGAATTATCAATCAATCAATCAGTCTTTATTGCCAAGTATTATTAAAACACAAGGAATTTGGCTGCAGCTAAATGGCTCTTTTGCACAGAAAAGAACAGTATAAAAATAAATAATAACAGGATAATATGTACATATATACAAGATTTTAAAATGAGCTATTTAATATGTAAAATGATTACTGTAATGTTTGCTGCATCTCCTTATATGTAAAAACATGGGTTAACTGTTCATCAAAGTGATGGCCCAGCGGAAGAAACTGTCCCTGTTCCTGGTTGTCTTGTCAGGGTTTGGCGTGCAGTAATGCCAAATGGTGTTTGTAGTGAACTCAATTATAAGGCCAGACGACTTGAAGTAGAGACAGGATCTTTTACTTGCTGTAACCAAACAACCAATTCATAGTCCAGGATCACAATCAGGTTACAAAAACAGACATCCGAGGTCAGGAACAGAATGTCAGGCAAGGTAAGATAGCTAGAGAGTCAGAGCTGGAGTCTAGAACAATCTGGCAGCGTCCTCATGGGAGGACGCTGCCTAAATAGAGATGTGAACAGGTGCACATAATAATGAAACAGGTGAAACTAATGTGAGTGATGAAGAACGTAAAGAAAAGACCAGAACTAAGGTGAAACAAAACAGGAAATAGTGTCAAAATAAAAGCCAGACGGGAAGCAGTGGAACCGAATCATGACACAATCCAGTAATGTCATATAATAATGTATGATCACCAGAGACATCTTTCTATGTAATAAGTACTTCTTTTTTCTTTTTGTATTCCTACATTTGATGAGCATCACTGCCAGCACTAGGGATGTAGTGTTGTGTCTTTCCAAGATTGTACTGTATCAGCAGCTCCTGAGGCAGGTTGAACTTCCTGAGCTGGCGCAGGAAGTACATCCTCTGCTGTACCTTCTTGATGATGGTCCTAATGTTGGACGTCCACTTCAGGTCCTGAGAGATAGTGGAGCCCAGGAACTTGTAGGACTTTACTGCTGGTACAGTGCTGCCAAGTATGGTGAGGGGGGTAAGGCATGTGTGTGTGTGGGGAGGTTCTTCCTGAAGTCCACTGTCATCTCCACTGTTTTGAGTGTGTTCAGCTCCAGGTTGTTGCAGCTACACCACAGGACCAGCTGCTCAACCTCCCGTCTGTAGGCTGACTCGTCATCATCTCATGGAGGGCAGACTTTTTGATAATAGAGTCCTGAGAGATTGTGGATTCCAGGATCTTGTACAGTAGTTTTTCACTGCATTATTTCACTGTTCACATCATCACATGAACTTTAATTCATGCAGCTGTCAAAATAAGTTAAGTCCTCAACTGTTATTAATTCCATATGCAACACTTTGAGAACCCTGATTTACACAACACTAATGGAACATTTCATTTTTACAAGGTTGACTTTTTCATCAATTTAATGATATATAATGCTTACTAAAGGTTTTGGGTGAGGTGTTTCTTTTTACTAATTAACTAAACTCTAGTGTTGTAGTGCTGTATCCATATACTGTTGTGACTAATACATATTAAGAAGAGAATGATAGTGATGTTTCAAGAAATAAGCCAAAGCTATTGAGAAATAGCTGCAATAATAGACTTCAGATCAACTAATACCCTTTGTTTTTAAAGCAAATAGGAAGAAAGCAGACTATGAAATCTCAGAGGACCTATTTCAGAGTCAGGTACGCTTTTAGAATAGCTTGACAAACAATGGTCCTTTGACTGAAATGGTACTGAGTATTAAGAACAGGAGAATGGGGAAAAGAATTATGTCAGTCTCTCAATACTCTCTGTTTTTTTCAAACCCATGTCTTGTAATAGCTGTGATGTCAGTGGGTCACTTGTGTAAGAACAACACACCCATAGTTGGATGGACTTCCTGTTCCGGCCCAATTTAAATTTGAGAGGTTATCTTTTTTTTACCCAGAATAAACATGAGACTGAACCTGCTCTTAATTAGGTTGGAGATTATGAACATGTTGCCATGACAACAAGTCCTACAAGACCTCCAAAGAACCAACAGATCTGGGATGATGTGAAATCATCAACAAAATTTTCTAACTAATCTGTTAATGCACATATGAAAAATATCCTATTCCCCAGGAACATACCATCAGCTGTCCGATAATATAAATAAAATCCATTACAGACTGGAGTTTTGTTTAGAAACCGTTAAAGGTACTGGTACCATATAGTAAAGATACCAGTGATACTTGATTACAATTTGAGGTTAAAATTCTGTATCAAACTGTCAAAGCCTATTTAATCCATTGACTGTCCAATAAAATCATGCATTCGATATATAAAAAAAAACAAACAGCTGATGTCCTCTATAGAGCAGATTTTGATCAGTGAATGAGAATAACTTTCTGTTGTCAGTCTGTCCTGTATATGAGTCTGTGTCTGTATCTGTATATGTAGGACTCACAGATCTGCTGGCTGAGTTCTATCAGCTCCATCTCTGTCGGCATGTATCCCATGGTCCTCATGCACTCGCCTAGATCCTTACAGCTGATGAAGCCATCCCTGTCTTTGTCAAACTCCCTGAAGGCCTCACGCAGCTCTGCAGGGAATACATGCATATGAGGAAAAGAGTGGATGTGTGAGAAAGACAGAAAGATAATCTTGTTCCAAGGGTCTGTGTTAAAGTCCTCTATGTGTTGACTATTTATATGAATGCAGCATGTTTCAAATTAATGTAATGGTAAAGTTTTTGTAGCAAAGAGAGACAATCCCGGTGAATGTTTGGTTTCATCTATGTGTTACTTTGTGCCTTTTCGTTTGAGTCGCCCTACATTGGATCCATACGTAGGTAAAGATGGGGACAGCGTTCTGCCACAATATCTCTTCTTATGCTGCCGCTGGAAAGAGCCAAGGTCATCAAAATGTTTTATTTTAGACATAGGTGCTTTAATTAATTTGATATTTTTATTTAATTGTGATCGAGTATTTGGCAATTGAAGCTTATAAAATGTTACCTTGAATTGATCACTGGCTGTGAGACCATCACTAACATAAGCACATTTGTAGCCTAAATCAGCTGAGAAATTCAGCTTTGGGTACCACTTCATTATATGCCATCTTCTACAAGGGGCTTAGAAGCTGCAACTAACTGCTTTATTATTTGGTTGATAACATAAACACTTATTTACCAGTGTTTTATATGATAAAAAATGGGGTTGTGAAAATTGACTGGTTAAAGGTTTTTTTTTTCAGGCTTTTACCTATATTTATGAGGTAGGTTGCAGAGAGGAAGGCAGGAAATAAGAAGCACACCTTGTGACAGAGCTGTCAGTGGTTGGAGTCAAGCCACTGGCATTGCGAACCCCTGGGGGGGTATATGCCTGTTTAAGGGTATTGGATGAACTACTCCATATGAGAACAAAGTCTTTTGTGGCTCCAGAGGGAGCTGTGTGAAATATGGAAAACTGTATCAAACTATATCCTTTGAGTCAGCATGGGACAAAAGATCACTAGATTAAAAATGAAAAAACTTTCATGGAGTAGAGGTAGACGTGTGTAGCTTGTGTCTCATCTCTGTTTGCCATATCAGCCACTACTAGCATAACACGCCCAAACTGCTGACTGAATGGGATTACATTTTGAGTTACGTAGACAACAGGTTCTGACAAGGAATAAAAATATGTGGAATACAGAAAGTCAGTACTTCTGGTTTTGCTGAATTGATTTTGATCAGTAAAGGTCTGTAATGAAATGCTCATTGCATTATTACCAAATTTAAAAAAAAAGGATGAACACCTGCCAGTAGTGGTTTTCACAACCTGGCAGCCTCTAACATCTTATGAATGGATTGTAACATAAATAAACTATTGTAACCTTTAATAAAAGAATTACAACTTGTGGCAGTGGCACCCTGATTTGTTTGTTACTAACATGTCAGTATTAGTGTGTCTTGTATTGTGTATGTTCCAGGTATTTTTTTATTCATGAAAGACTGCGCTCAAGGTACGTTTCATGTGATCTCAGCAGGGGCACAACAATCCAAATCAAAATCTAACTAGAATTATCGTTTTGTGGTTGTATGCCTCCGCCAACCAGTCACCGTCATGGGAACGAGACAGAAGTGAGGTCTCTGACCTTGACATTTGACAACCAAGACTTAATCAGTATATCCTTGAGTTCAAGGAAACATTTGAGCCAAATTTGAAGAAATTCCCTCAAGGTAATCCTGAAATATCACATTCACAAAAATGGGCCAGCGCGATGGCATAAAAATGTCCTCTGCACTCTGAACGATGCCTCAACATCAATTTTTATTCTTTAGTTTTTTAAAATGCTTACTTTAAAAATTACATGGCGGTTAGACAACAGACTTTTCAGCATGACTGCCTTCTTCAGTGTAGCCAGCTTACACCACAGCGAAGGCTCTTCAACACACTAGGTGTGATCAGTACAGGTGAAGCTGATTAGACTAACCGGTGCTGCTTCATGCCGCTCTAAACTAGATACAAACAAGACAGCACAGCACTGCAAACAGGAAACATACAGAGATTACAACATAAATAGGGCAAAGTCAGGAAAGTCTTTTGGAATTGTTCACTATAGAGTAAAGCACAATTTTTCAGTCGGTCAAAAAGAAGGTTTGAAAGGAAGGTGGTTTAGGAAAACACAGAAACAGCTATCGGAGCGAGAGGTGGAGTGAGGATTCAGATTAAACGCTGGATATCTCTGTACCTTCCATTTCCTCTGGTCGTAGATCTCTGTCCTGCAATGGTGTGGACAGAAGACAGGACAGAGACATTGACAGCCAGTCAGGCAGGTTATACACATGTTTCGGTTTTCTCTTTATGTGTTGATCTAATTCATACACACAGTCACATGACAAAACACAGTGGCAACACTATAGAGCACTGTCTTTCAGTGGTTCCTTCACTCCTTTCTCTGTGAAGCATCTTTGTTTTATGTTCATCCAACAGAGATTTTATTATGGCAGTATTTGTTTTTTGAGCTTACCGAGCTTAAAAACCTTTTTAGTCATTATGATGCACAATTTTATGTCAAATCTTATCTTGTTTTTGCTGACATTGCACCTCCGGAAGTCAATCAGCATGTACTGTAAAAAACTTGCAGAATGACAAAACATGGAAGCTCTGTTTAGCCTCTCTCACTTCTTCCAAACACACAGAAATAACATGAACATACACTCAACAAAGCTCATGAAATGGTTTGTACATTGCTAAAATTCAGAGGAACCAAAGAAAGCCACCACAACTTAACATGTGCTTAGCAAAATAGTCAAAACGTCAGAGTGTATTGGCATCGACACCAGTTGATGCCAGGATGTATTTGTTCATGACGTGTTCTGTGAGGCAGCAGGAAAAATACAAGCTGGGATTAGAGGGTGCAGGGGGGAGAGAGGGGAGATTATAGTGTTAAATTGCATTACAAATCACGAAAGCTTATCGGTTTTTCATTTTCATATTTGCTGCAAATGTTTTTTCATTTGTGACTGAACTGTAGTCTGGCTGGCAAGTGAAAAAAGGCAGAACATGCAGCAAACACACACATACCATCTTTGCTGGTTGTCACCGAGTCAGCAAAAAAGAATTTCTTTGTTGCCGTTTTGTTAAGTTTTCTACTTTCATTCCAAAACTACTAATACCACTGTTTGCTTTAGAAAACATCTAAGACAACAGAAAAACAAATTTACATAGCTGACTTTAGATTCTGTTTAGAAAGGACTCTTCAAAAGGTAGATGCCACCACACCAAGGAACAAGGGAGTAAATGCAAGTCGAACTTATAAAAGCACAACACAGTGTATTCTGGAGCATTCATTCTATGATTTATTTATAGCAGTAGTGGTCGATGTTTTCAGATTCTTTACTTATTTAAATCGGTAATACCACAGTACAAATACACTCTGTTACAAGCAAGGTTTTGTGTTCAAAATGTTGCTTAAGTGAAAGTACAAAAGTATTATATATCTAAAGTTCCAAAAGTACTCATTATGCAGAATGGATTATAATTATTAAATCATTACTGTGTACATATTGTTTAAGCTGGTAAAGGTGGGGCTAATTTTAACTACATTATATACTTATAATTAGTGAATGTCCCACCAGGATCAATAGCCTCTGATTCTGAAAAGTAACTAGTTACTAAAAATATCAAATCAATTTAATGGAGTGAAAACTGCAATATTTGCCTCTAAAATGTAGAGAAGTCAAAGTAGTAGTAGAAGTAGTAATAAAAGTACAGAAACCTCTGAGTAACTTACTGTAGTTAGTTTCTACCACTGGTTTCTATTTTGTAATTTTAGAAAACACAAGAGATTATTGGGGATTAATAATCAGTAAAGACTTGCAGTCTCACCCAATCCACAGACTAATCTGTAATCTCTGTCAAGGAGTATTTCCTCAGTCAATGACTAATATTGGATAGATGTTAGAAAGAGCTCTACTTACAGTTTAACAAGGTTAAGCATCTCTAGCCACATTAGCAGTTCTGTGGGGCCGGGCAATTCTAATGCCAGCATGGCAACATGCTCACAGAGACAATGCTAACAGTACATTATGTTAACTGTGTGTTTGTGTGTGCCTTAGTTAAAGTGTTTTAGTATGCTAACATTTGTTACTTAGCAAATTACACAAAAATCAGCACAAAGGACAGCTGTGGATGTTTGGGAATGTCATTAGTACTTGGTCATTGAAAAAAACCAATAAAATATTTGACCTGATAATGGTGCTAGATGAAAAGCAGATCACCAAAGTTATTATAGTTCAGTGGAGACCCTGAACTGTCTTTCACCAAATTTGATAGTATACCATTAAAGGCTATGTTGACATTATAGGCTTCTTTTTTTTCAGATCCCATCTTTTTGTGCTGGGGGTTCATGTTGATATTTGTGACATGTCATGACATGACATGGTGTGAAGATGACATAATGTACATTCATGCCAATGTCATTGTCATTGGCATGAATGTACAGATTAACTGAAATGAGACACAGAAACACTGGAAACTGGGGGGAAACCTCTCCTGGATCTATCTAAAGATAACCTTTGCCTGCTCGTAGACATCTCTTTAGCTCTGTAATTAACATGTTATACCTCGTTTGTTTAATCTGTACAAAAACCAAACTGTAGAAACAAAAATGTTGTGGTTTATGGAGGATTATGTGTTGGGCTAATTCTGAGCCTTCTTATTACCCAGTTACTCCGGGAAGTCACCGTCCTCTGGTTAATCCAGCACACAAAATTCTGGACACACCGAAAGCCTGGATAGCTGTTTACCTCATTGTTAGGGTTAAGCTAACATGCTGCTGGCTGCAACTTCAGATTTACCATACAGACATGAGACCATATGGCAAGAAAGCAAGTGTATTTCTCTAGTGTAACTATGCCTTACAACAAAATACCGACCCCATAACCCAAGATCAAAAGACTTAAACTCCACCAAATACACACCAAGGTCAACTTCAAATAAAAAAAGATACAGTAAAAAGAGTGCAGTTGTAGTAGTATTTGTGATATGTCTTCTGTAGACTCAGCCTCAGGTCTTCCACTGTCTCAGGAGCATATACTGTAGCTGAGTAAAGCACCTGTGATCAGTGACTACGCCATTGTCCTATTGGTTCTTTTCAATTAGTACTGCTCCATTATTGATCTCTGCCATCTCTGCCTTCACTGCAACAATGCATCTGAAACTAGAGGCGTGTGTGTGTGATGTCTCTAGTACTATTAGAAGGTTGAATTTATGATGTAAATGAGTCTGAACAAACTGTGAGGCCAGTCACTCTGCCATTATCCTACAATCTGCTATACTGCCAATTTTTTAAATAGCACCAAAGTCTATATGATGCATAGTGTAGAGATTTGTTCTAATCCTCCTGTTATATTGTATAGGATTATTTGTGTGTGTGTAGGCCTGTGTGTATGTGTGTGTGTTTCTTCTCCAAAGTCAAGTGTTTATTGTCATATGCACAGTGAGGAAACGTGTTTCCCTGTACAATGAAATTCTTACTTTGCTGTCCGCACGAATGCCACACAGTATAAATGAAATATAAAGTAGATATGTTGGTGACACAAAATCTAAATCACAAAATATAAGGCACTTTAAAACAGCCAATGAAAGAAGCATAATGAAAAATACAACAAGAACACAATGTAGTGAAGAGAGAATGTGTGCTACATGGGAGCTGTGTGTGCAAATAGTCAGCAGGGAGTGTACGATTGTACATGTGCAAACTGAGTGTGTAAACAGTACAGATGGAATTACATGAGGTAGATCCTGAGTCAGCTGTTTAGAAGTACTACAAATAGTATTCTCCAACAAGGGTTCTAGTGAACTTCAATTCTGGTCAAACATGGTAACATATAGGACTGATGTGGGGTTGGAACTCAAAGGGTGAAATTCACATTATTGGGGAAAAAGGTCTATAAAAATGGCTGGATAAAGAGATTTATTGGAGATGTGTGTGTGTGTGTGTGTCATACATACAAGCTGACTCTGAGCAAAGCCCTGTCTGAGGAAGATACAAGCAGGCCCCACTATGTTGTGCAGCATGTTGCAGTTCTTAACCAGAGTGCACAGGGGCTCTTCAAACTCCCGCTCAATTCCTCCTTCATCCTCATCCTCTATGTCCACATCAGCGCCTCCTAGGCCCCCCCGGTTGGCAGCACCCAGTGGCACACTGCTTTGATCTACAGGTGACACCCCCTTAGAGGAGGTGAACCATATAGATTAGGAAAGAGACTGTCAACTTAACTGAATGAAATGAAATAAGCTAATTCACATTTATATTTTCATACTGTCATAAACCAAATTTTAAATTACATTAATTTATCCTGTACATTAGAAACAGAATCCATTTGAATGGTTGTTGGGTGTGATAAGAAGTTGTTTACAGCTCAAGTGTAACTGGGAAATCGTCGTGTTAAGTTAGTCGACATGTGACTAACTTTCACAAATTAATATGTTTAGCTATGGAAATTCACAAAGCGTTACCTTAAACAGATCCGTTCAAACTCATTCTGATTTATATATTTTTCTCAGCTACAAGCCGTTTAATTCATCCTTACCTTCTTTCTTTTATTGTTCTTTTTAGAAGGCTTGTTGATGTTTCCCATCACCACCCCTCTTCTTCCTGTCTCCCTCCCTCTTGTTGGTCCCCACACTCCTTCCCTGCTTATATGCCTCTTTCTGTCTTCCTCTTCTCAAGTGTCACATAGAAGTCAAAAATCCATCCCACATCCAGTGCATCCCATAGGCCTTTCATACCCAGTGAGGTGAGGGCAAATGTTTCCACTTGCAGCACTACCACGGAGAGCAACTCCTCTCACACATTCAACAGTCTAAGATCCCATTGGTCATGACAGCCAAGGTAGGCATATGATGCTGCATTAAATCCTAAACTCCTGTAGGCTGCTGGAGGCTGTCATGATGAGTTTTGAGATGGGTGGTGTTTGATGCTGCGGACTAGCAGCAGGGTGAGGGTGGGGTGGGACAGCTGGGTCATATTTGGGCTGATTGCATGACTCGATCATTTTCTCTCACTATCTCCCTCTGTCTCTCTCTCTCACACAAACACACACTTTTTTCATCCTGTTTATCTGTCACCCACCTCTCGCCACGAGTGATCCCTTGAATTTAGACCAATTTAATCTAATCCATCCAGTCCATCTTCTCCTCACTGCCTCGCAAACATTATGCTTATGATCTGAAAATGACTAGTCTGGCAGAAATTTGTGTGTGTGTGTGGGAATGAGAAAAAGAGAAAGATAAAGGGGGAGGGTAAAATCATGGATGGAGAGTTAGCTGCCTGGTTAATCCCTGGCATTTCAGATTAGAGGGACAGAGTTATGATGACAGGCCATGGGGACACAGGCTGGAAGTGGGAGAAATAGAAGAATAATATTTATATTACTCAGGCACTTTAAAAGCACAAGAAAGGAAGAGACAATGGGACAAATAGAAATAGAAAGAGAGAGATGATAGAGTGTAATTTTAAGAAAGTACTTGTGTAAATGTTGGAAGAAGCAAAGCAAAGTGAGGGGGCATATTACAAATTACAGTGAATGTGAAAAGAGCAGATTTAGCTCTGTAAGATATGAGGCCGACAGGAGTTTCACACAGTGAAGTCATTAGTCCAAAATCCCAACCAAATCCCACAAACTTCCTTCTATCAAAATCAGTATTTACATTTTATTAATTTATCTGTTTATTTATAGTTTATGTAAATACTACATTATGAGTAACACAGGCCTGGTGCCAGGTTTGTATGTAATTCTAAACCAGCTAACACATGCATTTTTGACAAGCCAACCATCCAACTTAAATTTTGATTAAACTAAATTAAGAAAAATTACATCACATAGACCTGGCTGTTTTTTATGCCTAAAACAGTTACACCCAGTTTAAAAGCATTTGGACTGGCTTTCAAAAACCCAACATATGCACTAGGTTTGTAACTGAAGAATGCAAACTATATTATAAGCCCCTCAAATTTCCAGAAATATTGCAGAAGATATGACCTCAGTGTCCTCAGTGTATGGCTCATCTGGTTATATGATAGCCTTTGTATAGGGTCAAATTTAACAAATACCACTATGTAACAGTACATATCTTAAAAATATCTAGCAGCAGGTTTTTACATTTCCTTTGCTACAATTCAAGAAATATTGTCACTGCACCTTATTCATCTGACAGCCAGACCTACTGGATGCTTTGCAGATTAAGATTTCACATTTGGAGTAGAGTGTGGACTGGGGCGGATATTTCTGTCCTAACCTGACCTGTGCCCAAGAGCGTGGCGACCAAACCTGACTTAGACCCGACATTATATATTGTAGTATATAATGTCTGAACCCGCCCTGAGCCCAAGGCGTTTGAGTTTGTATGGTATTTTTCTCTTATCATTCAAGCAGACATTTGAATGCTCCAGTGTATTTCTCATTCACCACAATGTCTATAGTGATACAGCTCTGTAAAAGAACCAATCAGGAAGGTAGCCATTAGCAACAAGAAGACAACTACATTTTATCATTTTTATTTGTAAAGGCCTATCAGGTACAGTATATGATTTTTCTTCTCAAGTTTACACCTACTGTTCTCCAAACCTCCTTCAGGGTACAGAGATCCGTTGCCAGCGCATGGGTCACGTGCAGCCTACAGACCCTCTCTTTGAGGCTCAATTTTATGCATGAATGACTTTCCCCCACCAGGGGGAACGTTAAATATTCACACCTACAGCTAATTTAGAGTCACCAGTGAACCTAAGATGCATACCTCTGGACTGTGGGAATAAGCCTGAGTACCTGGATGAAACCCACACAGGCACAGCAAGAACATACCAACTCCACACAGAAAGGCCACAGTCAAACTCAGCTTCAAACTCATAACACATGCCACCTCTCTCTATATATTTATATACTGTGATCAGTTGTTATACAGAAAGTTCAGTACATATAGTACACACATCTCATATACAGTTCATATAGCCTATTGTACATGTATGTGTTGACTGTTGTATGGTGGTGGTCATGTGGTGTTGTATGTTTGCCAGAGATTAGCACAGTTTAAGGCCAAAGCTGAGAGCTTGCAACCCTAATCCTTCACATCATTTTAGGAGCACTAATACATGTCTTTCTACATTTCGTCATATTTGTCTATAGTACCACTCACTTCCCTTCATTTGTTTGCTGAATGTCACATCTTTATAGTTTCTTGACTCTTTATTTTACTAATGCTACAGCTTCTGTTTCATTGCAGATCTCTCCACAGTTCTGCTCATATTTTACAAACAACAGAGAAGTTGGATGCTATAAACCACACAAACAAGACAGATGTGTGCAAATCATGTCATACTTGAGCCGCAAGAAAGATTCATCCCTGAACAGCTGTCCTGGTCTTGACACTGTTAGTCTATCACCAGCAGAGTGCAGCAAAGCTCAGCTTGTCGCTAATAAAGAAAGAAAGTAATGATGAATTTGTGCTCAGCAGTCATACTTACAGCCACTAGGTGTCAGCATAATGTGTTGATACTGAGTGCCATGACTTTACGTGACAGTCGAAATGTTTGTTTTGGACAGTGTACAAAGCAAAAGCAGAGAGCAGAGTTGCATCACAGTTGAACAGTGAAATGTTCAAAGGAATGTTGAAAGGAAATGTTGAATGGCAGATTCTGAGTTCAAGCATTAATGAGTCGCCATGAGTTTGTGATTCCCCTCGTGACCCTGCAGTACAGCTCCTCAGTGAACTTGGGGAAATGAAAGAAAAGCCTCCACAGAGAATCTGTTATGCAAAGAGAACAAAAAGAGTGAGAAGATAACTCGCTACAAAGAATATGAATCCACATGTTTTGGTTACATAATAGTATGGCCTTAGCCCACTGATCCAGCTGGACACCCACCAGATTAGCAAACAGAAGCCACAGTCCTGTAACGGGCTTTTCCTCTACATTGCTTCCTTTCATATTTTTCACACACATGAACAGAATGCTTCAGATGAATTGGAACAATGGCTTCAGGTGGTAATAACTGAACACGTTTTGTACAAATGCAAACACAGTACAGTATGTATTGTGTAGCCTGTCCTCCTACCAGGCCTTTGTCTGGAGAGGAGGTTGTGTAGTGCAGGTGAAGTGAGGGGGGGTCCTTATCCAAGATGATGGTCTATGGACAAAAGGTGTCATATGCTGTACAGATTGTAAAGCCTCCTTGAGGTTAATTTGTTATTTGCGATACTGGGTTATGCACATAAAAACTGACTTGATAAAAAAGTAGACACTTGCACTTGCAGAAAAGCATGTGCACCTACTGTAGAAAGAGAAAGTAAACTGTTTTCTGTCTGGCTCAATGGAAAAAAACTAAAGCACTGGCACCACGCCTCAGTCAACAGTCTGGTGTGAGCACATAAAACCCATAACAGAGCAGGCGGGTGAGAATTCATCAACCATCCCTCGACAACAGCAAGCACACCAGATGCCTGAAAGACAAGCACAGAAGACGGGCCAACAGAAAATCCAGTGTCAGGGCAGTAAACAGCATAGTGGACATATTCCAAAACTCAGGATTTTGCATGTCATGCTACACTGAGAGCTTTGGTCAGGTCAGGTCAAACATTTCAGCTGAAATGTGGCATGCTCACATATGACAAATTTACTGCAACAGCTGTAAATCTGTTGATATGAGGCAAATAGGGTGACCTACAAATTAGGCTGTAGACATGCTCACTTCTGCTGACCAAACCCTTTGCAGTCATATTGTGATTATACACGGGTTGGACAGTATCAGTGTCAGCAAACTGTTGCATCTCCCACCAGCTGGTACCATAAGCCCAGTGCTCTACAAATGCCTAATTAAATTCTTATATGTAGTATTTGAAGCTTCACACAGAAATATATAGTGTTCTTATTTATGAGACACACAACAGTGCAGCCATCCATTCTGACTAGATTAGCTACTGTAGAGATAGATCAGCTCTTTCTAAATGAGCACAAACACTTTGTTCTGAAAGCAACACAAACACTACATTTCAGAAAAGAATGCTAACATAATGATGAATCTAGGTTTTAGTGCAGTGCTAATGTTGTCCTCTACTACTGATATGCTTTTAAAGCAAACATGTCAATGATGTGTTTGCTAATGTAGGCTATCAGTGTTTGGTTCACAGTTTCTAGATCACCAAAAGATGTGTTACTGCAGCTTTTTCTATTGAAAAAACTCATTGTGGACTAGCCGAGTAGCTGGTAAAATAGTGTGTTACAATATGATAATATAAATAGAGCATTTAGCAGCTAAAGAGCTACATATTTTCTTCAGTTCATAAAGAACATAAGAGAGCTAAAGGAGAGAAACTGTTTTTGACTTACATTTGTCATGTGGCCAGAAACACAACTCCAAATGAATGCTACCATCAACACTACTTCAGCAAATGTTGAATAAAAGACCAGTAGAATAAAGAAATAGAGACACAAAGAAACATGACAACCACATATACATATACCATCTGTTATTACCACAAACCTGAACTTAGATCAAGAGTTCATATTAAGAAAAAATGCTGGTATATTCAGCATTTCACATTAACCTGACATCATTTCACAGACTGAAGTCACATATGACTGTCTGGACTGTCCCACATTCCCTGCTCTCATTCTCACCCACGTACCCATTTCCAAATAAAGGATAATGCATTTTGCACCTGTCCAAATTTTGTTTCATGCATTTTAATTTGACCTAAAAGTTAGATAAGAGTTTCTTCTGAGATCCTCGAGTCTTACGGATTAGAAAATCTCTGTGGGAAACAGGATGAAGGGATAAAAAGTCAAAAAGGATGGAACTGATTGTTAATTTTTAATCTCCATATATGAGTCTAGGACACAACTGTTGCTGCCTTGTTGTTGCCGCTGTTGTGCCCCAGCGGTAAGAGCCCATTAACTAATAACCCAGTTTTAAATCTGTTTACTAAAGCTCTTGTTTTTACAACACTGTTCTCATTACTTTGTACCCAATGTCCACGAATACTGATATTCAACAGTAGAAATTGTGCTTCTTGTTCAAGTCTGTAATGTGAGGTGTGATTTATGATGGCAGCAATAAAGAAAGGCAAGGGCTGAAGCTGAAATGTTTCTGGAAATGTTTTAAAAGTTTATTTTTCTAAAGCTCTAAAATGTACACAGCTTTTCTTATTTTAGTGTTTGTGAGATTCAGAGAAGAAATAAATATAAAATTGTAAACATGGAGTAATGATATGTACTGAATATTGATGTAATAAGTGAATTTTGCAAATAGTTGTTTTAGTAGACAAACATTTGTTTTTTGTTTTTTTTTTGCTACAATGTTAGTTCTGTGGAGCAATTTCACAGTGTAAATGTTTACACTCTATCAAAATGACAAATGCTGATTGGCAAACACATTTGATTTTACAGAAACTAATGAATAAATGCAAAATGAACTTATTTTGAAGCCAGAGGTTATAATTTTAGACATTAGCAGTACATATTAAAGAGAATCCTTCATATGATGCAGTGATTTTCCAGATGAAACACAATTGTAGGCCATATGACAATCTGTGTGATGTGTGAGGAGAAACAATAAGTACATGAAACAGTTCAGTGTTCAAGACCTTTATCACCGACGTTTGCACACTTACTAGAAACAAAACTAAATTATGCCCTTCTTGCTTTACACAGAATGATAAATTAAACAAAGTCTATATCATAAAATGTTATGTCTAGTTAGTTCTCCTGAATCCTTTTTGCTTCTGAGCTGAGATTTGTGGCAATAAATGCTCTGCAAAGAAGTTTTTAAATCATAATTGTTTTAATATATTCAGTTTCCTCTTTCAAATGAAATAATGGTGCTCTGTCTTTAACAGTCAGAATCACACTAAGATTTGTGATGAGCGATGAGTCTAATCTGCCTTTATGTTCCAACCAATCTATTCCATTGTTGGCATCCAGTCATCTGTCAGTCACCAGCCCTCATCCCAGTCCGATCTTCCCTTCAGTTTCTCATCATTCATTCCTTCTGTGATAGAGTTTACAGATGACTCATCTGAACAATGAGAAAAGGAGGATTACACATGAAACAAAGGGAAACCTGGCCAGTGTTTGCTTTTTGTGCCATGATGCTTTTGTTTTTTCTCTCCTCTATCTACTCACCCCAGCTGGTTGAGGAAGAAGGCCACCCACCAAGAGCTGTTGAGTCTGTTGGAGGTTTCTTCTGTTAAAGGGAGTCATTCCTCTCCAGCGCTGCCAACTGCTTGATCGTGGGGGATTTGTTGGGTTTTTCTTTATAATAGTGTAAAGTCTAGACCTTACTATGTAAAGTACTGAGATGACTTTTGTTCAATTTCTATTCAATTCTATTGGTATAGTGCCAATTTACAACAAAAACTTTGTGGTTAGGTTTAGGCACTAAGTGGATAGGTTTAGGAAAAGATTGTAGTTTATTTTAAAATGCTCATCAGTAAAACACAATGCTTCACACTGGAATCAAACACCTCTCTCCTTTGGGAATGTGTTATATTTTAAGACCCATAAATCCTCCCTGACCACCTGCTAATTTTGCTCTGTGTACCATATCATCTCATTTCCTCATTTGCTTGTGCTATAATTATACAGCCACTAGAGATGACCTAATCACCTCATCTGCTGACAATGGGAAGTGCAGGTGGTGACTCCCCAGCCATATTAATGGTGTGATAACAGCTGAAAATACACCTATTAAATATCACGTTAACACTGGAATCTGTTAATGTTACAGCAGCTTGCTTCAGGCTAATCTATGCAAACCTGAACTACAGATCAAGGCCATCTGAATATACAGACCTGCATACTTTTACAACCACTGGGTAGTCAACAAAACAAAAAATGTCTCAAAGTAAATGCACTTGCAAGACTATTGATTCATGCAAGACACTGAAAACACAGTATATGAAGTTAGTGTTCAGTTTGGTGAACTTCCATGTCTTCCATGTATTTGACTTTGCATCCAAACAGTAGTGAAATTGTATTTTCTAATGACATTCATGTCTATACTATCCACATTTGTTTCTTACTCTGACAGATTTGTACTTTGAGTGCACTCAACATATTCCCATAAACAGAGGCCCGTACTATATGCTTATATGTCCTATAGAAGTTCACAGGTCAGTCTGACAGGCTGAAACTCCAATGATCTACTTATAATGATTATTCTGTCCATCCCACTGTGACCACTCAGACTCTCTTTTCAAGTTAAAGGTAGGGTTGGTGATTCTTTTCAGAAGCAATTACATATCTTGAAATTCTCTTTTCATCCCGACGGCAATGAATATATTAAACGCACTGATAAATAAAGAAAAAGTTGAAAAATCAACTGTGGCAGCAGCAGGGCTGACCAAAAAGCCTGACCAATAATTGTACTTGTCCCAAAACCATTAGTTGGCCTACCTGCCTGTCAACCTAACTTCCTACCTGCACACACTCTGCCTGTGCGCTCAATGCATTAGCCAGGAGTCTCCCACAAGGCTTTGCAGTTGTAGACAGACTTGTTACCATTCTGTTTTGATAGCTGAAGCTAGTGAGCTATGGCAGAGAAGGTCCTCATAGCAGCTTTGGGTCGCAAATGGACATTCTTGTTACAGGCCAGGCCTTCCCCTAATGTTGTTGTTCCTGCCAGAAGTTGTGACCAGTGTGTACAGTATGAGAACGAGAAGATCGCCACATGAAACAGACTCTTTTTACATGCAGCCAGACAGCAGTCAGTTCTAAGTGTATAAATAGGATTGTAATACAGTTAACTGGGCATCAAGACAGAATAAAGCCTGTGTTTTGAATCTCCCTCTTCACTTCTCCCTGCTGGATTCACCATGCTGAATTAATTCTTAACTACACATACTAGTAGGTTTCTCATTTCAGATGGATGAACACCACCTGTTCATTGGGAGGTGTGCACATAATCATTTCCAAAATTGCCATGTAGGGCTGTACCTGTTCTTCTTAGCTTGTGGGAAAGTTTCAGTCACAAAATGTTATAACAGTTTCACACTGCAGAGCTTCAGGCCTGCTGTCAGAAGTCAGCAAACACAGCACAAAACTGTAACAGTCAGTAGTTATAATCAAAACAATTAGAAAACAGTACATCTGCCAGCAACAAACAAAGAGGGTATGGTTTATGCTACATGATGTTAGACACAAAACATTCTGGAAATAAAAGGAATTTTAGTATCATATTTTACTCCAAATTTATTTATAAGAAGCCACTATAGTAAAATGACTGTTTCGCTCTGTGAATAAAAACAGTGTCTGTTCATGACTCATACGACACATTTCTATGTTTTATGAAATTGGTGAATGCCACAAATTCTCTTCAATCACTCTTACATGGCACCTAACAACAAAATTGTTTGTACAACTGGTTCTAGCATTCTCTATATTCTTAATGAATAATGAACATGTTGAGTTCATTCTGGCAAAGCAATGGCCTTTTCTTATTGAGACATATTATTTATGCAGTTTTTCCTTGCTGCTTTAGCTACAACTGACATGGCATTTATGAAAGAACTGAATGCTGGTATCTGGCACATGAGTTAAGAGGTGTTCCTAATATTCTGACCCTTTCATGTATGTAGCTGGGGAGGACAAAAATATAAAGAAACCTCTGAATATAATGTAGTCCAGTACAACAGCACCTTTAACTATGACCTCAATAATAAACACAGGAAACAAATTTATACATTTATGACAATTTCGCCCAAAACCAAAACATTTTGAGCTTGATAGACACAAATATTAAGGTGGAAGTGCTGCACTGAATTGCATACTTTTGTACAGGTGTACCTAATAAAGTGGCTGGCATTGATCAAATAGTATCCAAAATGTTAGTGCCATTTTTAACCTACTGTATGTCAGCCAAGCACATATTAACAATGCCACGTAAATACAGTCGTGCCATTTTTGGAAGTGTACTGATACAAAGACAAACGGGCTGTAATGCCCAGTTCAGCATCCTACCTGTCCGAAGACTGAGTCGACAATGGGTCGCAGCTTCCTCCTGTCTCCTTCTTGCAGCCAGAGATCATCAGCATCTCCCACAGGGGAGGACAGACTCAAGGTCTTGGCCTTTGGCTTTGGAGGCTTCTTTATGCTAGCTGAACTCCATCGTCTGAATGACTCGATCTTCTTCTTGATGGAACCCTGGACAACAGAGGACGAACATACAGGCTGAAATGTAGGTCACAGAAGTTATTTCACACAAAGGGCAGAACAAAAATGAAATGAAAGACAAAAGAACTGTGTGGGAGATGATTAGTCATGTGGCAAAGGTTATGAATGAATGGACAGTTAACTGAAGTGAAAAACATTTAACTCATTGCACACTTCAAGAAATAATAAAATTCCTGAAAAGAAAGATGCCAGAAAAAAGTTAAGCCAAAAAAAAAAATGTAGAAGCACGAATAGACTAAATGCACTCACCTATGCCTGTAGGTGAAATCACATTTACTCAGAATTTAGAATTTAATATAACTTACAGTGCACCAGCTCAGATATGATCCTGCACTGGCAGAGTTTAGAACTGAAGTTAACAAAATCAGAAAGCAATGATCTAGTGGTCACTTTTGCTTTCTGCCACACATTATGTTCCTGTAAGGCCAACAAGGCCTCGGATGACAATCTCTGAGTGGCCACAGGTTACCATGTTGAGTTTGTAAGTGGAACAGTGACAGGATTACAAAGTCATATTTTGGCATGTACATCCACTGACCTTCTTTCTTATCATCCCCTCTGGCATGGATGATATGCTTTTGGCATCAGTCATCCTTGCAGCCCTGCTTGCATCCACAGAAATGTGCTCTTTCTGTTTCTCTCCTGTCACACTCTTGTCCACGCCTCTTCTTTATCTGTCTCTCTAGAGCATTTGACACTGGTTGGCAGTCTGAGGCATATCTCCTACTGCTGTTGCTCCCCCTTCGCTCGTCCCTCATTCCCCTCTCTCTCTTTCATCCCTTCATCCCTCCTCCTGTAACTACATCCATCATTCACTTTTTCATCTGAAAGCTTTTGACAGCTTCTCGTGGATTGTCTCCCTGTAAACATTGCTCTCACATACATGCAAATTCGTGCAGGCACACACATTTAGGCACAGCAAGGAGAAATGTTTAGCTTCACAATTTTTAAACTAGGTGCTAATTAATATGCTAATTAATCTGTGTTTTACTTGGAAAAAATATTTTTTATTGATAAAAAAATAAAGCAAATGACAACAAAAATTCAAATATTTTGTCAAAATGTGCACACAAATCTCGTCTTTTTTTAGCCCAACATTATTTTTTGTCCACATATGTGAAATCTCCAGTAATCCTGTATTTATTTGGTCTCTCTCTGTCAGCTTATCTGTTCTGATGCTGATGTAGGCCTGTCCTCAATCCTCTGCACTTTACAATTCCTTCCATTGTTTTTTACATTCACCATATGGGCCTGTACACATACAACACACTTCCTATAGTATGATGGCCTGCGGTATATGACAAGTATGCTCCCGCACACTTGTTTGGATCCAGGAACGCCATTCTTAATCCTGTCTTCTCAAAATCACATTTATATAACTATACTATAACTAATTTGCAACAGTAAATATGTTTGCACAGAATGTTATTTCACCTCTATTTTATTTTCTAATGCTGTTCATATATGATGATATTGAACATAGCCGTAAAGTGTTCAAGGACAATGTATTTCTTTTCCACTAAAATATCGAACAGCACTGGTCAAAGAATAGGTTGGGGATTTTTTTTAAGTTGGTCTTAAACCAACACTGATATGCCCATATGAAAGAGAGGCAGTCATGAGGAACAAAATATACAGCCCTGTGTTAAAAAATGCACTCAAACTGAAGCTTCAGATGTCCGACTGACCTGTTTCCAGCCAGTAAATTAACAGCTCTGTACTTTCTGAATATCTCTGAATAACAGACTTCATAGTAGATGAGACTTCCATTTACTGTGTTAGTACTGTCTGTTAAAGATAGCCTACTTTTGAGAGATGAACTAGCATTTTACCTTTTACAAAATAAGAGGTGAAATCATAAGCAATAAAATGCACACTTTGTCATACACTGTGTTCTACTACAGCCTTACTTGGTCTGGTAGGATCAGTAGAGTGTGGGTGTCTAATGTTAGATAGTAGACAGAAACTGCTATATACAGAAAGAGACAATACTCAGGCAGTTCACTAACTTTATGACTCCTCTCAACTTTGGTTTTGCCCATTATGTCATAAGTGACACAACTGCTTCTTAGTAAAGGCTACATACTGTCAGAAAAAAAGAGGAAAATGCCAATGTGTTCAGGAAGTTCAGTGCAGCTTTCTCAATAGTGCTCTTTAGAAAAATGGACCAAACAGATGCACAAAATGGAAAAAAGAAAAATCTTGGGTATGCTTCTTGAAACAAATAAATCGCTGTTACTCTGACTTTTAACATATGTTAAAAATGGTTTATGCAGCAGGTAGTTTATGCTGCTCCATCATGTGAGCCATCTGAATAAAGTCTTTTTTTCATTTCAAGAATAGTGCCTTGGATTTTTTGTTCTATTTTTTTGTTCCATTTTGTTATGCAGTGTCACTTTAATGATATCTGTGTACTCTATCTGCATACATACCACTTTCACTACTCCTTCCTGATTAACTCTCAGTCAGGTGCAGAATAACTCAATAATCCCTTGTTACAGACACATTAGGCAGTAAATAGTGCATCAGGGCATCAAATTGATTAGCAGCTATTGTGAATTAGCTCCTGAATGACACAAAGTAACCTTCTATCACAGCCTTTAGCTCGCTCTGTGTGTGTGTGTGTGTGTGTGTGTGCTGTTTTTATCCCAGACAATGCCCATTAATCCTCCATGTCCATGCTGTTAATAAGTACATAAAGTTGTCAACAATCAATTCTCATGAATCACTGGATGAAATCAGATGATAATATCTGCTGATTCTTGGGAAACTCACAAAGTATTAATAGATTTAATTAATCACATTGTGTTAAAGTAGGTGTTAACGCATTAAAGGTACAGGTAGAGTACCCCAGATTGTGATTAATTAATGTGTTAATGCATTAATTAATTGTATTCTGTAATAGTGTTAATATTTATTTTTACTCTAAATTTTATTTGGTTTTAGGCCTTAACATCTATCAAAACTACTGAGTGCAAACATCAAGCACCTGTGCACGTAGCAAAAGGGCTGCAGTGTGTAAGAGCACCATTGGTCAATTAGCCAATTTAATTTCTCTTTATGGTCACAAGCCAATATTCATAACATGATCACTAATCAAAATGGGTGATAATCCCTTCCCATTAGACTTTATGACACACGGGTGGCCTACTAATTGTGGCAATAAAATAATAAACATCTGGAAAAGAGGATGTGGGGGTAGTGGCGAGGTGTTAAAATATTTACCAACAATGTTCACTCCCACTTCCTTTAAAACTGTGCAGGTCACAGTAGAAAAAAAAATCACATGTTGCTACATGTGGAGTGACAAAGGCATCTACTGTTACTGGAGAAATGGCAAACAAAACCTATAATCTTGGGCTATTCTTTAAATTTGTTTTTAGAACAAAAACAGTTGAGGGAGTGTCAGCTCCTCAAAGTGTCTGTGACCACATTCATCTTTTCTGTAGGAATTTCTTCAACAACTTGAAGCCAAATACTGGCCCTGCTGTGGAGCCCAGAGGTAAGTACAGGTCTGACATTTATAACAAGAAGTTCTTTATTACTTTCTCCATCTTTAAGAGATCTTTTAGTGTATTTAAAATACACATCATTATTATTGAAGGTTATTTTCTTCTAATGCATTTACCTCCATTTGACAGACTCAAAGATAAGAAATGAAATTTGTCATTCATATAGAAATTAAATAATATCTGTCTAAGATTTTTATTTTGGAATCTGTTGAATTCATAAAACAAGAAGCAGTCACAATAGAAAACAAACACAAAGTAAACTTTATTAAGCTCCATCTATTTACACAAATGCACATAATAATATATATGTTTTATTTGTTCATTGATGTAATAAAGGCAGCAGTGGTAAGAGAAATATTCATATCCAAAAGTTCTGCATTTAAATTCCTACCTAAGAAAAATGACATTATTTTGAAAGAACTGTTTTTAAAGTCAAATATTATTTGGCAAAGTGATAAATAAATATAGCTGTGCAATAAATGTGGTGAAGTAAAAGCTACAAGATTTATCTGTAAAATACTGTTAACTACAAAGTAACAGAAAATGAAAGCATTCAACTGAGGTACAAATACCTCAAACCTGTGTAGTTACTTGTGACCCGATATGCAACATAAAACCTTTAGTTTGAATTTGTTTTTCAAAATAATGATCAGAAAAAAATCATTGGTGTGTGTCGCAGTTCTCTACTCAACCAACATCTGTCAGCTATACTTACTGCAGCAGTGCATTAAACCCTTTTAAACCACCCCTGCCCCCCCCCCCCCCAATCTCTTTCATTTTTTTCTTATCTGTTCTCTGCGCCAACTGTTTTTCACAGTTTATACGCCATCAGTGGACACAAGGTTCTCATGGTGTTTCATTAACTTTCTTCTAATATGTGTATTTCTGTTTTTTTCTACAGTCGAGCACCTCTAATCTTCACATTTACATTACTGCATTTGTGTCTCTTTTGATACACTTTGTAAATTATACAATGAAATGTTAAGAATCTTCAGTTGACTCTTAATGGTTTATTGGCCCTTTTTTAAATCCCCTCATCACTTTGGAACTATACAGAAATTACTAGGGGCATAAACTAAACCATATATTTCACACACACCCAGCGCTGTGTTTTCATTCCTTGTGGGGACTTAACATTGACTTACATTCATTTCCTACAGACTTATCCTAACCTTAACCATAACCACTACTTGTCTAACACCTAACCTTAAACCATGTTGCCAGCCTCTGGTCCCCACAAGGATGGCCGAGTCCCCACAATGTGAGTGTGTTAGCAGGTTTCGGTCCCCATAATTTAAGTAATACAAAGGCACACACACACAAAAACAAGACCCTCTCCTGCCTTACTCCCATCAGAAGCCACAAAAATATTTGAAGCCTCTCCAAATCAACAAAAAGTGATCTGATTTTATAATTTATGGGAAACTACTTCTAAAACAAGCTAAGTTGTATTGAAATAAAAGATTGGTGTTAGCATTGCAGCACTTTGCTTATGTCACCACATGAATCATATTTATGCAACTGTACAGTAGAGCACCTCTAATCACTTCACTTAACAGTTTTTGCTGTGGTCATTCACACCTGACCCTGCAGGAACTGCAGGCCCACCACTTTAAAAACTAATGTCTTCATGGAACTATAATTTTTGTGTAGCTTTCAAATTACACATCAGACTTGGAATTTGCAATTTCCAAATAATGCAAGACATAAAAACCATTGCCAAAAAGGTTTTAATAAAGAGTTTCCAAATTAACAGTTAACAATCGTCTTGTTATTATTTGCACTACTGTCACTGATTGTACATGGTTTCAGTCTTAGCCTAATCACTTTGATTCAGTTTCCTTATTCTTTTTACTCTATTTTAGTTTCCTAAATGGTGTGGCATTCAATACTAGGTGAGAGAGAAATGATTTTCTGTATGTCCTGCACACATAGTGAATTGACAATAAAATCTTTGATCTTGATCACCCTGATGTTCATGCTGAGCTTGGGTTGTACAACGAGATAATGTTATATGACACGCTATCTTCTTTTGTGAAAGTAAGGATGACTGTTCATAGCGCTAATGTTGAATCACTTCTTATATGATGCAGGTTAGTCTGTGTTATTAAAAGTAATAATTTTCATATTCTCTTTCATATTCTCTTCCCACACTATACTTTTACACTGCTGAAGAAGAAAAGCAAAAACACACTGTAGCAAGAAATAGATGAATATAAAAGAATGGATGGAGAGAGATGGCTCCAGAGGGAGAGATAATCTTCTGGAATTAAATGGCTGACAGGAAAGTAGAACTTTGTATGTCAGATACATCTAATCCTGCTTTATATTTATATTTTGGATTTTCACTCTCTAATATTCTCTCTAAATTACAACTATCTCTGTGGTAATCCCACACTGCTGTGGTCTATATTACAGCTCAGCCTGTGTGTGTGTTGAATGTGCCCAATTGTAAAGATGATCAAAATGGATATGATCAAATCCAATCATTCAGAAAGGTGGCCAGACATTCAGCAGTTCAGACTCAAAATGCAACTGGATTATAGGACCTGAAAAACATCATCCTACCATATACTTTCATGTCTGCTTATGGAATCAGGCTTGTACTGACCTCTAGTGGCCGGAATCCTCATAGCATGCACCCCAGATCTACAGCAGTGGTTCTTATGTTTCTGGCCTGTGGTGCTATAACAAAGGCACTGTGTACTTGTATCCACTCTTCACAGTTTGCATATATGATTTTCCTTTCTCATAATGTTTAATTTGAAGTAAAACTACACACTATTTCACAATAAAAAACAAAAGTTTATAAAAAATCAGTAATAATAAACACAATTTGGTGCATCTCAAAAGATTTTCCTCTCTCATGTCCCTTTATTCATCTCACACCTTACATGGATCTTTTGATGACTTGTTGCAAGATAAGTGCAGTCTTCTAAGATGTAAACTGCCCCCTCTTTTTCCGATTTAAATTACAATTTACAGTGAGAAGGGCAGGGATGTGGAATCCCATGTCAGTACACATGAACTTAAGCTTAGCAGTGTTTTGAGCTAAATGCTAACATTAATGCGCTAACATACTAACAATGACAATGCAAACATGTTGAGGTTAAGAAGCATGGTGATGTTGGTCAGATGTAATGTTTTCTGTGTTCACATCATAATTAGCACAAAACACAAAGTACAGTTAAAGCTGATACAAAAATCAGTTTTTGGTAAAGTAGTAATTTGGGGCACATCTTCATCCACTACCAAGGGTACATAGATGAGGGGGAAAAATGGAAAGGCAAAAAGGCCAGCAACACTTGCAGTGTATAAAGCAACTTCAAAGTTTTTCGTTTTGCAAGGATTGGCCTTAAAGCAAAGTAGTGGACATTATTAAATTTTGACCTTATGATGGCACTATATGGAAAGTCATTGGATCACCAAATATATCATAATTCCTCCTCTTGGGATCATGAATGTTTGTACCAAATTCTATACCAAGCTATCAATAGTGTTTAAAATATTTCAATATAACAAACAATGTCAGCCTCATGGTGTTCCTAAAGGGAAAGTCAGTATGATTTATCATCTGGGCAACATGAGTATTTATACAGAATTTCATAGTAATTTACAGTAATATTCCAATAGTTACTTTAGTCTGGACCCAAGTGATGGACCAGCCAACTGACAGATCAGTATTTAATATGGTAGGTCAGAGGGCTTCCATGGAATTAGGCCTGCATGTACTATAGCCCACATTAAGACACACTGTATAGTATGTGACATAGCTTGAGATAAATCAAACATTCTACTGAATCAAACATTAAGCCAAAAATCTAATAGTACCTCAGCTGTGCCCCACCTCATTTGTTGATTCTTGTCTTCCATTCTACACGTGACTGCCCCTGTGACCTTCAGAAAGCAAAGGCAGTGGGAAGGAAGGCTGGATGTCAGGTGATTAATGAGTTGAAGATGAACCTTTTGGTGACCCTGGCATTGTAAAGCTAGCATCTTTACTGCTCTTCCGCCTAATATGAGCTCTTATACTTTTCCCTGAGACCATAAGTAATCCCCCTCCTTCCTCTACCAGCCCGTCAAACACTGCTCCTAGACTCTGTCGTATTCTAACACAGAAGTTTGGGCAGCTGAAGACGTACAGAATTGGATTCAGCACTGGATTTATGAATGCAAATGTTGTAGCTAGGGGCAGCCCTACCTCTACTAAATAGAGATTATTCCAGTACTGAGCTGTCACTTCAATTATGCAGAAGACATGATAGGGAGCCCAACACAGCGCAAATGCTGCAATCACAAAAGTCACCATTTTGCTGAAGCTCTGGGACAGCTGGCCCTGACAGGTCTGACTAGGGCTGGTGGGGGACGAGGCAGTAGGTGACAAGGTTAAAGAAGGACCAGAGGGCACCCGCTTGAGAAAGATATTAGTGGTTTTTCTGGTTGTAGGGGTATTTGTAGCTCCTGATGCTTCATCTTTGTTTGACATAATCAGTTCATCAGTTTGCCAGCTGGCACTCTGCTTCCTCCTCTTGCTCCTGTGCCTCAGGTTGAGACTTATTTGGATGTAGCTCCCTGAAATCACCACCAGGGGAAAGAGAAATGCTAGCAGGAACTTAGAGATGGCTGTTGCTGTCTGTCTTACTTTGCAGTCTCTCTCCAGAGTGGCTTGAGAGGTTAAAATCAAAGCAAAATTATGATAGCACAAATACCTCCCATCTAACTTCTCAGTAACTGAGCGGAACACAGAGTAAGGTAGCATATTTATTGCTGCCCATAGCCACCCTAATGCACACACTTTCCATGCTCCGGCCACTGACCGATGATTCTGGCTCCACACTGGCTTGACCACCAGGAGTAAGCGGTCCAGAGAAATGGCTGCCAGCAGGAAGGCTGACACAAACATGTTCAAGAAGAAAATAGAAGCCTGTGTTTTGCAGAGTGGGTTGCCAAGCTCCCAGCTATGGGAGCAGTAAAGGTAAAAGGTGAAGAAAGGGAGCATCAGGGTGGCCAGGAAGTCAGACATGGCCAGGTTGAGCACCCAGACAGAGGCCACAGTGCGGCGCTTCAGGCGGAAGCCAACCACCCAGAGAATCAGAGCATTCTCTAAAATCCCCAGGCAGGACACCAGGCCATGGATGCAAACCACCACCAAATTGGCCTTAGTATTGTTGTTTAGGTGGTGCTCCCGCATCAACTGTAGCAGGGGGCAGAAAAGCTCTCCTGTGGTGGTGTTTGACATTGGTGCTCTGAAAAAAAAAAAAAAAGGTGCTAATCAGAGGTGTTGGTCATGGATGTCTACAGTACAAAGAAATTATGAGAATAATTAATTATAGTAATGGTACCAATGATGATCTGACCAGTAGGTGTACTTTTGCCTGTAGACAGCTGATAAATTGCCACTCCCGTTCCTCATATACTGTGACTACATGAAATAAGCAGCATAATTATTGGTTGTTAATCTTTATTGCTCAATTACAAATCTACTTTATTACCAAGGAAACCATAAATACAACCTTATTAAATGCAATTACGTTGATAATCATAAGAATTAAATCAACAACATCATTGACATGATTACAGATGATGAGTATTAGTTTTGGTAGCAGATGTCTACTGTACTCTGCTGAGACTTATACTTAACACAGCAGTCTCCTGTGGTCACATTTAGGGATTTTCAACTGCTGTCACAACCTGCTCTACAGCATTTCATGTTGCATAATGACTAATGTAATCATTGTTCTTTGAACGCACATGTAGCTGAGAATTGTCAGGAGAAATTACTAGACATATTAGCTGGTAGGTGTGCACCCTAGTCCTAAAACATGATATGTTTTTATTTTGTTCCTTACTTTTTAGAAAAACAAATTTAAAAATATCTTGTTCACTTGATAAACAAAACATGTCAAAGCCTGTTGCTGTGGTCTGACCACATACCAGCCGTTGGGCAACTACAATTGTTTAGTTAAGCAATACTGTCTGGCAATTCTTGAGAAGTCAAGGAGACACCAGCATGTATTGTCAGGATGGAAGTGTTTATCTGTATGATTATCAGTCCAGCAGTCTCTTTTTCACTGAAATATCCACTTAGTACTTTTCTCTTGGGTGAACTAGAAGAATACTTAAGTCATCTGGAAGTCAAAGACCTTCTTTGCTAACATGCAGGTTTTCAGACTTATCTTGTAATAGATGCTCAGCATGGAATGTGTTTCCATAGAGAGGGGGACATAACCAAAGTCTGTTTGTCACCACAAAAATATTAAATATGGACTGATCTAATATAATACCAAGGCTAGCTGGTATGTCACTAGAATATGAAAAACTGATTTGCATGTTTAGCAGTGGATTTTCTCATCACTACAAAACATGTTAACTGAGAAAAGGTTGAGAGTTCTTGTACTGAAACACAAAGCTGTGGAGAACAAAAAAAACTCTCTAGTTAGATAATATAATAATGCTTTTTGCTGGCTACTGGTAAGGCTACCGAGAGAGGTACTGTATGTTTGTAACATTTGACAGGAAAAAAAAAACTTTAAACAACAGAGCCAGTTTTTAGTTCACAAAGGTGTACAGGTATCTGCTAGCAGTAGTTTGTTAGCAGTGCTGACAGTAGGTTATGTTAATAGAACTCATATGAATATGAACAGTACAGCATAGTAGTTTATAGTTTAGTGAACCAGTTAATGACATGTAGAACACATTTGACTATTCAAATTAAATATTGCCATGGTATTTTTACATACTAGCCATGTTCACATACAGTACTTAGTTACATCCCCTTACACCAAGATGAGGTAAACACAGCACCATGTCTGCACATGAATATACACACATATAAACATATAAATGACACAGTGCTCATGTGACCACTGTCTCCCTGTGTAGGTCTGTTTAAGTAAGGTAATGTCTTGGTGTGACAGTTGCTATTAAATTGAAAACTGAGAACCACAGTATGACACCAACAAGCTTGAGGATTTAATTAACACTTCCTTTCTAGAAGAAATTTCCATGAAGAGTTGTGTATTATGACTGTATGCTTGCTGACCTTAGTTCCTGGTCATGTATGCATACATTTGTAGCAGTGCACTTAATGTCATAATTGAAATCGAAATGGCTCAGCATCTCCACCTGTGTTTAACATTGTAATTGCTCCATATTAGCTGCTTTGATAGACTCAATTGCCAGTTTTTGCCAGTGTATTAGGTAGACCTATTTAATATTTAATTTAGCCTCATTAATATAAATGTGGTGGGCAAGCACCATAAATTATGGTCTTCATAATGACCCTAAAATTGATTCAATGTATTTGTTAAGGAGTTTTAACAAAAAAGTAAATGGTACAGCTGTTATGAAGGTAGAATTTAATGCAAGAGTCTTTCATTAGACTAGATATATTTTAGCCTGATATACATAATAAACTTGCAAGAAAGCATATAGGCTACATAGTAAAATGTATATGATATAATCAAAGTTCTTCCTCTCACAACACATTTTACTGTGAATTCCTATTATGAAACTTGAAAGAATAATGCTGCACACATTAGACAATGTAAAAAGTGTTGGGCTGTAACCCGTTAGTATTACTTTCCTCAGTAGTCTAAAAAGTTTAAAAATACTTTTCAGTAATTATATTACAGTTACACCCTCCAAAAACAACTTGTTAAATTGTTAGTTTTGTAGTTACTGTGGCAAAGATTGATTTGAAATCTGACATTTAATATTCGCATTGACTGTAGTTGTCGTGCGTGCACACGTCACTATTAGCAGCACCATTAGCATTAAGCTAGCTTGGAGGGTGGAAGGACCTACGTTAAGTGGCTGGTAATATTCTCATTACTTTGAATTTATTCTGGCAAAATGTGATAAGGACATTATTGTAAAATGTAGATTGTGTGCAGGTAGCCTTAAGATTCTTTCCACTGCGAAAAACATCAAACCTCTCAAAACCTTTATTAAGACAACACATCAGTGTGAAACTCGTGGAGGTACACCCCAACAAAATGAGGCCTCTGCTGCCACGGAGGATGGCTGTAGCCCTTACTGGATTTTAATCGTCAATAGCAGGCTACGATAAGAAACAAAGCTTGTGGTTGGATATGTGCTGGATAAAATGTTGCCCATTTTAATTTTAAAAAGTAATGAGTAATATATTACATTTTTTGAGTAACAAGCCCAACACTGACGGTAGAATCTGAAAGGATCTGATAGGTCAGTGTCTATCAGAGTCCTTATTTTGACATAAAAAAACTGGTGAAATACACAACTGTTTCATCATGTTTGAGTTAGAAAACTGAACCATCGGGGAAATATAAAACACTGTGTGAGTATTAGGGCAGCATGGAAATAAAAGTAAGTCTGCAACAACTAAACAAACTATTATTAAAAATTAGAGCAGTTTAATAATCATAACTATAACAGTTACGAGTGTGATAATAGTTAAAAACCAAACACTAACAGCTGCTTAATAAAAGAAGTACAGCATGTAGATCAAAACTATGAAATGTCAGTATCATCACAACATGCGCCAGTGTCTATAGTCATAGTAGTTTGTCGAGCTGTGGAGTTCTTACTAATGTTGTCACAGATTTATTCCATCATCATATTAAATTGAATTCATTTAGAAGATTTGGTAACACTTACCTAGATGTTTGGTTAAACTCAAAGAGGAGTGTAAAACCGCCAAATCTTTAATAAATTCCTGTTCTGTTTTCCTGTTTCTCTTACCATTACAGACACTCATCCCTCCAGTTCTGTCACTTTCTATAACTCTCCTGTTATGGAGGCACCCGCCAGTTCCCTGCCACACACAGAGACATACCGTAGCTACCTTTGCACCACCCTGTTTGCTAATAAGGTTTCTGCTGAGTGCGTAAAAATGCATACAGATTTAATGAAATTCCAATGAAGACAGGTATGGGGAAATCGAGATGTACAGAAACAGTTCACAGGAAAAAGAGAAAAAGTCAAAGAGGTTTAAATATGATGTGTATGTGTGATAGATCTTTGCCTGTCCTATGTGACAGTTCATACAAGTCCTGCCAAGGCTGGACTTGTATGAACTAGTTCCCCTGACACAGCAAACTGTGCTGTAGTTTCCATGATAATACACTGCATCAGCAAAGTATAGTCTATGTCATTAACAAAACAGTCCTGATCTGCTTTCTAGTACAACAACATGATATTCATCTTTACTTACTTGATATTTCAACACATCTATTAGAGCAAAGAGTGAGGAAGAGATAACTGTATTTTGCTTAGTGACAAGAAATATCTGTCACCATCTGCTGGTGAACACTACTTACATCACATATCACCATCAATATGCCTTTTTGTACAGATATATATAAGAGGTTAAAGATAATGAGAGATAATAAATGCTACTTTTGATTTTGCTATGCAAAAACAATTCCTGATTTTCCTAATTTTCCTCATGCTCCCAAAGTCTTTTAAACGTTGTTCAAACTCTAAGTGGGCTGTCATATGTCTTTTGTTCAAAGCGACTTCTCCCTAGCCATATTACCATAAAGGCCTGATTGATGGCGTGCTCCTGAGATGCCCGTCCTTCTGACAGGATTTCCCATCTCTGGGAAAGGACCATGGGGTTCTTGGTCACCTCCCTGACATGACCCTTTTTGCAAAGTTTCTAGTAACTAAGAAATCCAAGAGCCAGCTGGATTCTGTTCAGACTTACGAAACTGTGAAAAGCTGTTAACATCACTGTTGGGATTTCTACAGTTCTGGACCACCCAGTCACAGGGCCAGCAATGGTTGTAATAATTTCTTTATTACATGGAAGCCACATGTATGTAAGCTCTGGAGTTGTTAAAATGCATCTATAACTTAATAAGGCTAATGCTAGCTGCTCCTACTTCCATTCTTCAAGCTAAACTACACTGTACATGTGACTCTTTGACTAGCTATCTGTCTCTTGGTTAGACATTAACTGTTTCCCAAAATGTCTAATTATTTCTGAACTATGCAAAATAGAGCACAATTCTACCTTTAGAAAGTGCTCCTGTTTCAAACAAGTTAAATACCTTCTTTTCCTTGTTTCCTCTCTTTACCTATAGGTCATTGTCACACTCCTTTGCACTTTCATTTTCTGCTTATTTTTTCCTTCTTCTGTCATTAAGACTTTAATTCACTTTTTGTGTAACTTACAGCAGGTAAAATAAGTATTGAACACGTCACCATTTTTCCTCACTAAATATTTTTCTCAGGGTGCTGTTGACATGAAATTTCTACCAGATGTCTGTAACAAACCAATTAATCCATACATACAAATAAAACAAAACAAATAAGTTCAGAAATTAAGTTATGTGTAATAAAATGGAATGACACAGGGAAAACGTATTAAACACATGAAGAAAGGGAAGTGCAAAAAGGCATGGAAAGCCAAGACACCAGCTGAAATCTATCAGTAATTAGAAAGCAGTCCTGCCCCTTTTCAGTGGAAATTAATATCAGCTGGTTCAGTCCCAACTGATGGCCTATAAAAGGTGTGTCAATGCCAAGGTGTCACACATTCCAGCCCAGCAGTTGGCGGTAATGCACCTTAGGTTGGCTTGCAAACTGCCAATAAACAGAAGAAGGAGAAGAAGAAGGAGAGGGAGAGGGAGAAGAAGGAGGAGGAGGAGGAGGACTCACACAAGAAACATCTCATGACAACCTTATTGTTGCAAAAACATATTGATGGCATTGGTTACAGAAGGCTTTCTAAACTTCTGAATGTTCCAGTGAGCACTGTTGGGGCCATAATCCAGAAGTGGAAAGAACATCATTTCACCATAAACTGGCCACAACCAGGTGCTCTTCACAAGATTTCTGACAGAGGAGTGAAAAGAATTATCAGAACAGTTGTTCAAGAGCCAATGACCAATATAGTCCAAAATTGAACTCTTTGGATACCATAATACACACCATGTTTGGAGGTCAAATGGCACTGCATCACCCCAAAAACACAATACCAACAGTGAAGTTTGGAGGTGGAAACATCATGGTGTGGGGACGTTCTTTAGCACACGGCACTGGCACACTTTATATAATTTAAGAAAGGATGAATGGAAAAATGTACAGAGACATTCTTGATAAAAATCTGCTGCCAGCTACCAGGATGATGAAGATGAAACGAGGGTGGACATTACAGCAAGCCAATGATCCCAAACACACAGCCAATGAAACTCTCAATTGATTTCAGAGAAAGAAAATAAAGCTGCTAGAATGGCCCAGCCAATCACCTGACTTGATTCCAATAGAAAATCTATGGGAAGAACTAAAGATCAGAGCTCATAGAAGAGGCCCATGGAACCTTCAAGATTTGAAGACTGTGTGGAAGAATGGGCCAAAATCACACCTGAGCAATGCATGCAACTAGTTTCTCCATACAGGAGGCGGCGTGCAGCTTTCATTACCAACAAAGGCTTTTGTACATATTAAATAAATTTCAGTAAGCATGTTCAATACGTTTTCCCTGTGTCATTCCATTTTATTACACATAACTTATTTGTTTAATGTTCTTTGTATGTATGGATTACTTGGTTTGTTACAAACATCTGGTAAAAATTTCATGTCAACAGCACCTTTAGAAAAAAATTTAGTGAGAAAAATGGTGACGTGTTCAATACTTATTTTACCTGCTGTATTTCTATCCCCTTTCTAGCCTACAGAATGCTTGCTCTCTGTAACATTGCACACTCTTCCCTCTCTTGGTGCTCTTTGGACACGAAGATCTGGGAGGAGATGCAATGTGGTTCATATGGTCACTTGGTTACTGCACGTCAAAGGCTGTTTAAAGCAGGGTGTCAGGCTCATTCAGCAATGTCGTAAGGTACTTCATCTTCTGGGCTTCTGCAGTAAAACACTTTCTGCCCTGCCCAGATAACTGGCTAGACTGAAGATAGACAAAGGTATCATAATGAATTCTTGAATGTATTACTGTATATGTATAATACTGTATTTGCCAATATGTACTTACATTAAAGCCTATGGCAGTAAAGATAAGGACAAAACCATTATCTCAGAGAAACAAACCTTGACCTCAGAACAGTTAAAACTATCCCATTTCCTTCATAAACTCTGACTAAATCTTTTATATCCTGGATAAAGGTCAGTGTGACGTAAAGAAATGGAAAACACAACAAACAAGGAAATACTTCACATGAACTTTCAGTTTACATCCAGCATGATTATAGAGGTAAATATAATTAAACCATAAAAACAGTTTTTGTCAAATGTATATACAGTAAGTGAATATTTTATTTCCCTCTAGCCCACCTTGAGGGGTGGAAAAATGTATCAAGTGTGAGGCGTGTTTGTTTTATATTGATAAGAGAAGACTAATAAGATAATATATATTTCACAGTGTGAAATTTATTATGCATTAACGTATCAAAATTAACATGTGCACATGGTTCTTTACTGTTTAGGATAAACAGAAAAGACTGACCTCAACTTAGTGGTATACAATATTTGTATGAAAAGGTACTACTATCTAATTGGTCCAAAACTGTTGGGGAGAAGCCGTGGTTTAGACTTAACTCTCCCGTTATTGGTCCTTCAGTCCGTCCGTCCTCTCTGCTCCAATCATCGTGAACAGCGCCCTAGGAAGGGGAAGAATACCTATACTATTGTAATTCCTACATACACACTCACTTAGCTAAATCACATAAGGAGTACATCATCAACAGCTGGTCCTATTTAAATGTTCAAGTCTCCACTCACCATTACAGACAAACTACTGTATAGATTTAGAGGTGTGCTGGTGGCTGCATGTTACATTTCTTTAAGAATTACTGGAGACATCACAGCTGAGAAACATCAAGGTATGACATAGTTCAGTTTTGTTAAATTAAGGTTAAAATTTTTACGTTATCAAACCAATGAATTTAAAATATTTAACATTTCTCTAGATGTTTAAAATGTGATGTAAAGGCTGCAGAACAATAACCTGAAATATAAATTGTTTGTATTTTAACAGTGTTTTTTTCAAGGGGAGTGAATTCAGTAAATATACATAAAGTTCTCCTTTAAACTAAACTTAAGTACTCTATGTGCATGTTTTACACATTGAAGTAATTTCATTTCTTGTACATATTTCATATACAAATATTAAAAAAAAAAATCCATTCTCATTTTAAAGCCTATTGTGGTTTATTCTGTACTTTGTTGCAAATAAGGTTTTGGAAACCATTATCAATGTTTTTTTTTTTTTGTTTTTTTTTTACTAGTTATATAGTCACTGTAAAAAGCAAATAAAAGTCCAAGCAAAAGTGTATCGCCGGGTGTGGCACATACTTTAAGTGTGTCTGTGACTATGGACCTAGTGTCAGGTTAAGCTTAGTATATTAAAAAGCCTGACTGGGCTCATCTCTTGTCTTGTGTCATACACCAGGATATTTGGACATATCCCCCAGACAAAGCTCCTAAAAACAAGCATATCTTATTTTTTAGCGATAGTGATTATTTTGAACAAGAGCTAATCCTTAAAAATTCTCATTAATGACTATTCCTGAGCATCTTGTCATTTTCTCAAAAACAGACGGCCTTAAGATTTACTCTGTGTCCTCTTATGTATCTTGCAGAAACATCTGATAATATATGATCAGAACACTGTAGTGAACCAAATAAGTTTACAAGCCTTTTCCATTACTTGCCATTTAATCAACCTGATAAGTGGTCATTAATCTTTTTCCTTGTAGATACATCATGACTTCAGTGCTAGGCATAGGCCTGCTGGCTTTGGCCCTATTAAGACCCACCATGGCCTTTGTACCCATCGGGGGTGGGGCCTCCACCCATGTCAGCATTACTGGAGCGGCTCTATTGCAAAAAGTGACAGAAACATGTCGGGCGGTGGTTGAGGCAGCTGGTCATGAGTTCAAACCCACGGTGAGATGGAAGATAAGGATGTGCTCACAGCACAAACTTAGTTACACACAACACAAACACAAAACATACAATGTATATGTTTACTGTCATTTCAACATATTTTTTCCAATTTAATTGAACCTGGGTTTCAGCCTGAATACAAAAAACAAACAAAAACAGAAGAATATGTATGTACTGTACACAGAATAAATGTTCACTGTAGTTTATTCCAGGCCACATTTGTAAAGAAATCATTTGACATGTTGGGAATACTGCTGGCAGCCGTTAGTTTAGCAGACCAAGACTGGTCTAGGTGGATTTTTCTGCTGTCAGACAGAACTAGCCTTGATGTGTACCCCACTGTTTCCAGTCTTTATGCTAAGTTAAGCGAACTGGCTGCTGGCAGTAGGTTTATGTTTAGCATACAGGTATGAGAGTATTGCTAACTAACTTGACAAAAAAGCAAGTTTGTATTATTGTCTAAATAGTATTTTTAACCATTTGTGACAAACATGGCTCCATTCTTAAGGCAGACAACTTTCAGTGCTCATCTGCTTTTGCTTAAAAGGTTGAAGTTATTATAACTGTGACCTCCAACCTTTTGTATCTGCCTGCAGGGTTCCTCTCCCGAGGAGCTGGTTAAGGCCTGTCTAGGACCCACAGCAAAAGGAGAGGTGTCAGGTGCCAAATTTCATTCTGCGCTTCAAGAGATCTACACCCAGAATGGGCTGGTAGACCGTAACTTTGTCAGCAGGTGGGAAAAAAATCAAAGCAAAACAACTGTCATTAAAAAGCAATAAGGTGATGTGACTGTGTGTTGTGAAGATTTAAATATAAACTCATTACTTGGAAAACTGTTTCAGTGCTCCACACCACTTCAACTCAGAGGCCTTCCTGGAGGGACGTAGCCTTATTATAAGTGGCATGGTCGTCATTAAGGCTAACATTCGCAATGAGAACTTCCAAGCTGCCAGGGAAACACTGGGAAGAGTACTTCATACCCTACAGGTAAGAGAGTAGCAAGGCATAAAGAAGCTGAAAGGAAAAACGGGAGACAGAACAGTAAAGGTTAAAGGTCAAATGAGTAAAAACAAGGATTTAAAGGAAGAAAAGATTTAAATATTCACTTAATAATGTGTATAAATACTGAATATAAAAACAGCCTATGTGCATGTATCAAAGCATTAAAGTGTGTTTCCATGCGCTGTCAGGACTTCTACAGCCACAGTAACTGGGTGGAGCTGGGATACAAAGAGCCCTTCATCAACCTCATACGCCCAGATCTACCTCTGGAAAACCTGGCAGGTGAGTGTGTGCATGTTATCAACAAGCATTAACATTACCCAAGGGCAGTTAGTTGAAGTAGTATATTCTGACTGGTTGGTGGGTGTGCATTATGTCCAGATAACCACACAGCTTTCACGTAGCAGCCCAATCATGGTTATATATTAACAATTCAACTTAATTAGCTGGGAGAGTACTTTTGAGATTATCCCTAACATATACTAAGGATTTGTAGTCGTTAACCATGACATTAACTATTAGTATAATAAATACTCTGTATCTTTTTTGCATTTTGCATGTGCAGATGTCAACACTGCCACTTGCAGTGACTGTGCAAGTGGAACTTGCCCCAATCCGATCCTCCCCAACATCCTGAAGCAGAAGAAACTGACTTCAGGCTACATGGGAATATTCTCTGCCAACAAGCCCAGAGGTATCATTAACAATCTTATCTCCAAATGCTTTTCATATACATAGGTCATAATCATTCACACACAGACTAGTCTGGAGCTGATCCCAGCTGACATTGTTAGAGTGACATTCATATCTACAGGCAATTAAAGTCACCAGTTAACCCCGTCTGCATGTCTTTGTACTGTGTAAGGAAGCTGGAGCAACCGGAGGAAAATCATGCAGGAAAGGAGAGAACATGCAACATTCATGAAACAGTTATTTAAAATTCCAACTAGGAATAACCATGAAAAATGAGCAGGAAAACATATTTAACAAGTCGACTATAAGTAGTAATTTGAACATATCCCTGTTTGACGTGTTCCTTCTGTGTTGTGCTAGGTAAATGTAGCCATGGAGGGGCAAGTGACCTGACAAGCACAGCAATCCCTCGCGGTGGCATCAGCAAAGATGAGCGTCGCTCGGACAATGTAGCCCTCCACAATGCTGCTGTGAACGCGGCCACAGCCGCCAGCCTCCAACTGCTAGAGGACATCCGGTTAGCTGCAGGGAACAATGACTTTCTCAGGTATGATGGTCAGAATGAAGCATTTCAGTCGAAGTATTTGTTGCACGTGAATGAGAGAAGCCATTCTGAAAATTCCATCCATCCATCCATTTTCTTTACCGCTTATTCCCAAACGGGGTCACAGGGGGCTGGAGCCAATCCCAGCCAGCTGGGATTCTGTCATTCTGAAAATTGTATTATGAAAATAAACAGTCTCTTTCTCTCTCTCTCTCACACACAGAATGATGGGAATCGCCCGCTCATCGGTTGTGTGCTTTGTTATTGATACCACCGGCAGTATGTCAGATGACATCGATGAAGCCAGGGCAGTAGTTATTAAAATCATTGACAGCAAGAAAGGAACGCAGGATGAGCCATCTGAGTACATTCTGGTGCCCTTCAATGACCCCAGTATGAAGTCTTCTGCCCTACTCATTATGTTTAGCGTGTAAATACGATTAGTGTTATTAGACCCGTTAGTGTAATAATGCCATACACCATTGGGCTACATACAGTACAGTATGTAACACTTGACTGTATAATACTAGTTACATTGAAGTGTATGATCTTATTTAAAGCAGACTGTGGTGCATACTGCAAATCTGCCTGGAGTTACTGTATGCTCTGTAGAATGAACAGTGATTTTAAAAAGTTGCATTTATTCCAACATACTCTGCGAGACAAGTCAGTCATGGTACTTAGTCTCTTTTCTGTGTTTTAAATGTAGACTTTGGACCTATGTTCAGGACAACAAATCCTGATAAGATGAAGGAAGAGATCTCTAAACTCACAGCAAACGGAGGTGGTGATATCCCTGAGATGTGCCTGTCAGGACTCCAGGTACTAAGAATAATTATGACACCTTCAAGTCATAAGTGGGATGATAATTGGGTTTTCAAGCAGTTCATCTTATCGATCCTTTCCTGTCTAAGGACAGAGGATGCCATGTGCTGTACAGAATGTAAAGTCCCTTGAGGCAAATTTGTAACTTGTGATATTGTGTTATATATATAAAATCTGACTTGACTGATCTTTTACATCTGCAGTTAGCTCTAACTGGTGCCCCTGCATCCTCCAACATCTATGTGTTCACTGATGCTCCAGCAAAAGACATCGCCCTCAAGGACACGATAGTTGCTCTCATCAGGAGCACGAAGTCAACGGTAAATACTGACTGACACCTGATGATGGCTAGCTCAATGTATTTGGGTAAATTTAATTTGAGAACCTAGAGGTATAATTTCCACAGGTCTCATTTTTCATGACCGGTGCCAGTAGAAGGCGCCGTCGTTCTCTCAGAGCTCCTTCCTTTGAAGACTACAGGGACCTGGCTCTGGCCTCTGGAGGCCAGGCCATCCGGGTGTCCAAGAAGCAGCTGCCTGAGGCCACAGATATCATTCTTGACACCTCCACTTCAGCTCTGGTAAGAAATATTCTGTACTATATAAAGCATACAGTAGACCAGTCCTTTATTGGTTTGGAAAAAATAGGTCCATTTTGCTCCTCATGCCTTCCCCTCTGTCTTAGGTGACAGTTCTTCAGCGAGCAAGGAACCCCGGGAAGCAGGAGATGTTCTCCTTCATGTTGGACAAATCTCTTCAAAACATCACTATTTACATCACAGGAACTTCCATTACTTTCACACTGACCAACCCTGCAGGTAACAACATTCCTACCTTATTTACTGTAAGTCATGTTTTAGACACCACTGATGAATGTCTTTCTTGCTGAGAACATCAGTGTGGTGCCTATGAAAAATGATGCATGCTAAACAATTGCAGGTGTGAACCAGACCCAGAGTGAGGCCAGCGGTAAACTGGGGACCATTCAGAATGTGGGCAACCTGAGGAGAATTCATCTCAATGATGACAAGCAGACAGGAACCTGGCAGATCAACATCAACTCCAACCAACCATACACACTCAAAGTCACAGGTTAGATATTGTATATTTGTGTCTTAAAGTAACCTGAGCCCATATTCACATTGTCATCTACTGAGCCATTTAAAGGGGCTTCTTATCAGTGCCATATATATTTTCTGAACATTGATACATCTTCTAGTGTCAGAATAATTTAACAAAAATTATTCCACAGTTGTTAGTGCACTAACCATTCGTGGGATTCTTGATGTATATGTGTATTTATGGCAGATCTGTGCTTGTTTCTCCAGGCCAGAGTACAGTTACTTTTATCTATGACTTTGTGGAAAGCTTCAAAGGACCTCACCCAGGTTATGCAGTACTTAGTGGGTGTCCACAAGCAGGTACAGTACATGCCATTAAGCCACTATACTGTTCATCATATCCATCATAAATCTGACACTTTTACAACATATTTGAAATCAAGGTTAGTTTTTATGGGAGGGCTTTTCCTGATACATCCAATTTACTTTAAAGTCCTATTACACAGTCACTTCCTTACCATAACTGCTTAGCATATAAACAACATATAACAGCAGTCCACCTTCTATTCCTTTATTTCTGTCCTTCCTGAATATACCGTTTCTGGAAATTAGTTAATTGCTGCTTATTTTATTTGAGGATGGGCCCAACAATGTACAGTACAGTCACAGTACGACAGCATCATCTAGTGGTGGAAAAACAATTAAATCAGTAAAAGGTCCTAAGTGACTTCTGCCCATGTTAGAGCAAAGTAAGAGGAAATTACAATAAGGTAATTTTAGAGGCATTTTTAGTAGCTGAAGAACCAGATATTTCAATTCCAAAACAGACTTAAAAGTAATGAAAGTGAATATTGTTAAATGAATGCCAGTGTTGGACATGAAAATTAGCAACTGTTTGCTAACAAATATTATAGTGATAAAATGTCAGTGTTGTCCTTGTAGCCTGTTTCTGCTGGTCCCAAGTGGCTAAAGAAAGTTTGTTCCTTCAGGTAACTGATAAGCAAAGTATTCAACTATAAAATTCTAGCATCCAGGGCCATCATAATACTGTAAATGTACTTTAAGTATCTTACATTAAATTGCATTTTTTCTTCAAGCATAACAGAGTTCTTGTAGCTAAACTTCAGGTTTATGAAAAAATGAGGTAAGCCTAGAAAATATTAGAGAGTATATTTAACTGATGGTATGGTCCACGAAGACATTTCTCTAACCCCTTTTTGGCATTAAAATGTTCTTACATTCTTCCCTGTACCTTGCTTTGCTTCTCTTCTGTGGAAACCCAGGTCAGCCAGCCACCCTGATGATCTCAGTAATAGGTCAGCGAGGGCCCTCTTCAGTCACTGTTGGAAACATTGGCCTGGCTGTTGTGTCTGGTCCTGAGTCTGTTAGCAATAGTACAATGACTGACATGGGCAATGGAGACATCCTGGTGACCATTGATGTAGTCCCTGAGGGGGAGTTTGTAGTTGCTCTAAAAGGAACAGACAAAGTGTCAAAGAGTGAATTTCAGAGGCAGTCTACCACTCAGATGTCTGTCTCCAAAGTGAATATCCAGGTTTGTCTCTTTACTTCTGTGTACTCATTCTCACAACTTTTGGTTGACTTACAACACAACTCATAGGGATAGCAAAGAAATACTGTTTCTAAAACCCAATAAAAATCTATTATAGAATTATACATGTATTAAAAAACCTCTTTGCATAGAGTTTTACACGTTTCAGGAATAGATTTGATGATGCTTGGGACAGCAGTTTGGAGCCAGGAAAAGCCTTCAAACTCTCCTTCAGTGTAATGACACAGAGCACCGGTGGTCAATACTCCATCAGTGCCAGAAATGACAAAGACTTCCCCATGGACTACCCACCCAAGTGAGGCAAAGCAGCTAAAAACAATTCCTTGTTAAATATCCTTATCAGAATTGACAGGAATAGTTCAACATTTTAGGAGATATACTATTTAATTTTCTCAAGGAGAGTACGTTGCAGAGAAGAGCTCGGTATCTCTCTCACATCTGTGTATTAAACATGAACCTAGACCTGGCAGCAGGTTAGCCTAATTAGCACAAAGATTGAAACCAGGAGAAACAGTTCATCTGACCTATCTAACAACAAAATCTACCTACCAGCATCTCTAGAGCAATATTCCATTTGTTTAACCTGTACAAAATCCAAATCATAAACTGTCATCGATGTATGAGATTATTTCTTGGCTCTTCATTGCTATCTCTGAGCCAGACAGCAAAAATTTCAGAAAGTCACTGGCCTTGGCCAAGAAAACAAAAACTTGAACAAATGAAAAATAGTTAAAACTGAATTTTACACTTTGGATTTTGTGTACATAAAACTAACATGATGTGTTAAAAGTTGAGCTTTAGAGGTGCTGGTAGGTGGATTTGTTACTAATGGACTATGCTCAGCTGGCTAGCTGTTTCCACCTGTTTCTTTACTGCTAAGCTAACTGGCAGCAGGCTGTAGCCTTACAGATTCTGTATATACAGTAAAACATACTGTATTGTGAGTAATAATGAACAAGTGTATTTCCCAAAACTCTCTAAATCTGAAATATCCATCCTGGCTGTTGTAGCTTGGGGCAAAGCTACATTTGGCTTGAGTAACGTACAACTCCAGCTGGAGTAAATGTTAGCATGAATGACCTGTTATTACTCTGTAGAAAGGTCAACCCCCAATTTCAGTTAAAGTTTGTAGGCCACACACATCCACAGTTCCTATAACCATGAGGTGGAATTTTCTCTCTTTTCTCAATAGCATCATCTTGACAACCGGAAATTATACTGATGCTACGCTGACCATTACACCGCCTGCCAGCACACCGTCAGGCACTGATGTCACGCTGACTATGGAAGCCACGTCTACCAATGGTGTTGACTCCAATTACATCGTTCTGAAATTGTCTGTTGTTACCAAGGTAACAAGACGCATTTTGGATTACATGTAGTAATGACTAAAGAGTGAAATAAATACATGGAAAAACTTTTAAACAACGATGGCTATTACAGATGCACTTTTTCAAAAGTAATACATGTATCATACAGATCTACAGTATTCAAGGATTCAAGATTTTTATTTTCCATTTATGTATAAACAGTCTAGGCATGTAGGAATTCTTGTGCAGCTCCCCTTTGGAGTCAGGTAAGGAGTCAAAAGCCAGAAAGAACACTTAGTCTAAAAATAAAAAGTTACATAAAGGCGGCAAAGCATTAAAACTGCAATACACAAAAATAGAGTAATAGTATTTCCCACAGTGAACTTAAAACATCGCACTTAGTAATTCACATGGTGGAGTTGGATATGTCATTAAGCTTGGTGAGGTAGTGAGAGGTTATTGCACATATATTCTCACATTTTTGTATTTGCCATCAGTCTTACTGCGGCAGGGAAAAAGCTGTTGTAAAGTCTTGTTCTGTGTGTGATGATACTGTCCGCTCTGCTGTGGCTGTGGCTGTAGGTGCAGTTTTTGTGTCTGAGCAGAGAGTGGTCTCGGTGGCGTGGGTCCCTGATTATGTTCTCTGCCCTTTTACAACAGTGCTGTGTGTACAGTGTGTCCATAGCAGGCAGTTCAGTCCCAGTTATCCTCGCTGCAGTCTTTATGACCCTTTGAAGAGCCTTCCCCTCTGCCTGTGTGGTGTTACCATACCAGACTGTGATACCAGTAGTGAGGACGCTCTCTACCAGCCCTCTATAAGCCTGAGAAGGCGATAGTTCAACCCAGCTTTTCTGAGCCGCCTGATGAATTATAGCTGCTGCTGGGCTTTCTTCACTGTGGCAGCTGTGTTCAGTGACCAGCTCAGGTCAGATGTCACCTGCAGGCCCAGGAACTTGTGGCTGGCAACCCTCTCCACCTCATTCCCTTTGATGGTCAGAGGCAGCAGAGGGGGGAGGGGTTCTTCCTGAAGTCTACTTTCTTTTGTCTTGTTTATGTTGAGGATGAGGTCATTCTCCTCTCCATAAACAAGAATGTCACTCACCATAGATACTGTACATTGCAGCTCTGAGGTAAATAAAATGGCCTTAGCTTTAGTATTAAATATTCCACATCTTCAGAACAGAATTTGGAGAGAATCGTACAGTCTGTGCACCACGACTGTTTGATGAAGACGGCCATTCCTCCTCGGCGGGTCTTGCCACTTTCAGTGGCGCTGCAATCCTGTCTGAACACAGAGTGACCATCCAGAGTTATACCGTCATCGGGAGTCTCCTTTCCCAGCCATGTTTCACAAAAACACAGCAGGGAGCAGACCTGTATGTCCTTCTGCGAGGTGATCCGAGCAAGGAGTTAATCCAGTTTATTATCCAGAGACTGGACATTTGCTAACAGTATAGTGGGGAGGGCTAGCCGCTTCTAAAC